TGATTCCCAGTAACTAAGCAAGTAAATCAGGGACATAATAGTAATTCTTGTTTAGGTGCAGAATTTCTGTCTGCCAACCAACTCTAAAAGAGAGGTACATTGGAGAATTCTGCGTACTTTTGTTAAATATTTAACTTTTGTGATGACTCTGAGATTAGAGGATCTTGATTTTCAGTGCAGCATCTCATTGAGGCATAACATTTCGTCAATTTCTTTACTTCAGCTCAGCTTTTAAACATCAGGACTGCCCTACAGATGTGGCACAGTCCTGACAGCACATTTCACAAACTGTGCAAGAGACCAAGTGAGTGACAGCAAAGAGATCATTTGTGTGCTGCGGGGGGGAGAAATGTAACACTGGACAATAGTGCATCCTGTTATCACTGTGGTCATGTGACTTCTACCATCAGGCACTGACTGGGGGCATCTGGATTACTACAATATTGCCACAAGACTACCATAGGCTCTTGGAGTGAAAATAGCAAGAGAACTAGCATAGGCACACTGAGCAATGGAGCATTATGAATTGTGAACAAGATGAAACTTGACCCTAAAGGAAGGAATGAGGGCAAGACAAAAGGAAGGCATAATATTTGAGACTAAAGGTCTAATTGTTGAGTTGTAGTTCCATTCTTGTACGTTGTCCTTTCCCACTGCTGTTTCTGGAGTGGTTTGGCCCCATTTGACTAGTTTACCCTGAATCTTGGCATTATTTCATAAGACCCAACTTGTTTAATTAAGATTATTATCACATTCCTTCTCCAGAGGCTAATGAACCAAGCAATTTACAGATATTGGTCAACATTGATTCACAGAGCACAATCTAAGCCTACCATTCTCCTGAGATCCACCCTAAAGAATTCACTTTTATCAATTTGACCTTGTGCCCCAGTTCCCTTTTCTTTTTTGACTAATTACAGCCCATCCTAACTGCCCTTGAGAAGGTGGTGTTGAGCTGCCTTCTGCTTGCTGATAATATTGAAGTCTAAGGCTATGAGTTGCTCACCCAAGTGAATTGTACAGTTTCCCAGTTGAAATCAGAGTGTCCCCTGACTCCTGTGTTCTGAGAGTATCAGGAGGTTATGTTCCCAGAGTGATGGTCCATCTACATGAGTTACATGAATTCTCAAGGGCCTTTAAGCTTTGTTTACTGAAGAACAGTGGGGAAGTTTGGAAGTTGCCATATCAGCCTATCCCTCATCATCATGTCTTGGAAGCAGAGTCTGATTTGCAAATCACCACCAAAATTAGTCACATCAATATTAGGAGGTTCACTGAGGGAATGACTTTCCGGTTTTAAAACATAATTACAGGCCACCGGAGGCCTGTCTCAATTCTATGATGGTAAAACCTGACAAGGTTACAGACAACGAGCTGAAGGATACAGGAAAAAGCACCTCAGGAAGGTGAAATAAACAAGTCGGGCAAAAAGCAGCAGATTGATATTAAAAAAGTCATGCATTTGTATAGTGCCTTTCATAATACTAGACATCTCAAAGTGCTCTATAGCTACTGAAGTTTGAAGTATTGTTACTGTTGTAAAGTAGGAATTTGCTCATAGCAGGCTCACACAGACAGCAACATGATAATATCCTTGCTCTTACAATTTAGAGATAAGTATTAGCCAAGGCTGGGCCTGCACTTCTTCAAGCAGTACCACAAGGTTTTCTACATTCATCTGACTGATGTTAACTTCTAATCTTTGTGCTGAAACCCTAGAGAGTGGGTCTTGAATCAAGAACCTCCTAATCCAGAGGCAAGAGAGCCCAGAGTCACCTCTGGCATATATAGGGTCACTGGTAGTACGTAACCTCCTGAGGCTCACCAAACACAGGAGTCAGGGAATACTCTGGTATCAACTGGGAAACGGTACAACTTCCTCAAACCAGAAACAGCCCATAGATCAGTTTCCTGTGCAGTCCCCAGTTATTCGGATTGTCTTCCATCCTTGTGTATTATTTAAAACAGAACCTTGTCTCTCAGCTGCAATGTGGTGATGTTATCGTGGATACTTTGCATTAGATAGGTAATCTAGTCAAATAATTACCCAGCAAACAGGCTTTCAGAGCCTACTGTGGCTTCTGAAATTGTGGTTCTAGAGACAGCAAGAGGCTACTGGTGCTGGCTGTCTGGAAATCCTGAATTCCCAGGCTCATGTTTCTGTCCTGCATTTGCTGCAATGTTCCAGCAAAGCCCAGTATAAGCTGCAGAAACAGTGCTTTATGTTCTGTTTAAGTGCTTCAGGACAACTCAACAACATCAAACTATGAACACTTTCCTGCATTGTGATACTTCAACCTCCTCCCATCCCTGGTGTCTGTAATTTACAGTTTTTCATTGTTTTGCTTTCAATCAGAATTCAGTTTTATTCTGTTCCTACTCTGGATCTACTCCAAGTCTTCTGTACAAACATTCCCACTCCTTTTGTTATGTGACACCTCTGATCTCTAATCTCCCCTCACCTTTTTCTGAACTTCCTTTATGTTTCACTTGCTCCTCCTCCATTTCCAACAGTGTGAAGACTGCCTGTTGATTTACTACCAGTGTTGCAGGGTGGCAAAGATTCTGTAAAATGCTCAGAAAGAGCTCAAAGTGGTAGTAGTATCCAGGGGAGATGCGAATGGAGAGGTGGAGGGGTAAGGCAATAGGTCAGAGCAGAGGCAGGGGGTCTTGTAGAAGGCTGTCATGTCATTGTTGCCATCTGCACAGTCAAGTGGTAGCCATCTTGGCCGTTGACCACTTGCGTTCCTCAGCATGATGCCCATCACTTTTCCGCCCCTTTCTTCAGTTTTTATAAAGAGTCATTAGACTCGAAATGTTGCCTTGGTTTTTCTCCACATATGCTGTCAGAACAGAGTTCTCCAGCATTTTCTGCTCTCAATCTCTGCAAAAGCAAGTGAGTCAACACTTTTCTCGAAAACCCTCAAATATGTTTTGTTTTACTCCTGCTTGATTGCTAATGCAATCCTTCTATAAGCCCTGATTGTACCTGCCTGCACCACACTCTCAGGTACTGTATTCCATGTCCTAAACACTCCTTATTCTAAACAATCTTTCTCATGTCACTATTTTGCCGACCTGTGCAACTAGTTTATGACACCTTCACCTATGGGAACGTTTCTCCCTACCATGTCTCCACATCACTCCTAATTTTGAACAAACCTCGTCATACTCTTCTCCAAGGAAAACAGTCTCAACTTCTCCAAATAATCCATGTGCCTAAAGTTCCTCATCCTTGGAGTCATCTTTCCTTCTTTGATGTCCTCATGTCCTCCCTAAAGTTTGGGGCAGAATCAGATTCTGTAGCTGGGCCAGAGTTTTAGCCATCAGTCCCTCATTGTTTACTTCATCACTGGGATTTAACAGAGAAGAACAAAACAGTAAAACTACTGTCCTGTCTTGTACATTTCAAAATGGAGCTTTTGTGTGCCCAGTGCAAACATTTCCAAAGTATTACTGGTTACCTTCCTGGGTTTTTTCCTCTGGCTCAGTGGGGTTCTGAGGGCAGATGTATTTTGTGAAGGCCCTCCTCTTTAATCCATTGTCATTGCGCTTATCTCAACTATGTGGATGATGCCCTCTGGCAGAGTACTGAGCCTTTTCCGACACTGCACCCAGGATCTGGGAGTGATCTTTTCCCTATTGACCTCACCTGCAATCTCCATCCGAGCTGCCTCATTGGGGACAGGAAGAGGCACTTTTCTTGGGAAGAGAAACTCTGGCATTGCCCTGCAGGGAAGCACTATTGTCTCCTCTCCAGCATGTTGGCAGCACCTTGGCACACATTTGAACCATAGGCTGTGTGGGGTTGGGAATGGTGGCTCAACTGCAGCATTGCAGACTGCCCTGCAAAAATGTCTTATTTTTAAATTCAAAAGAATTTAAATAAAAAGCACTGACACCAAGTTTGGCATTGCATTTGGCTCAAATTTCATTTGACGAAGAACACTCCCAACTTTTCCAACCTATCCAAGTAACCAAGCGCCTCATCCCTGGAACTGTTCTCATGAATCTTTTCCACATCCCTCTCTGATGAGTTCTCACTCTTCCTGAAATGTATCACCCAGAGCTGGACCCATTCCTCCAGCTCAGGTTGAACCAGTGTTTCTAAAGATTGAACAGAACTTCTTTGCTATGGTACTCAATGCCTCTGTTTACAAGATCACGCACACTGTTGCAATTGTACTCACCCGAGCACCTGCCAAAAAGATTCTGCAGTACTTTATGGAGCTTTGCTGCAGTTAATCTAAATGATCATAGTTACACAGTGCTGGGCCCTTCTTAAAGCTGAGTACATAGTGTTTGGCGAGTGATAAGCGAAGAGTAATTTGAATGGATAATGTGGTCCAAGTAGAACATCAAATCTACAGGTCAGACTAAATGACAGCAATGGTTCTCAGCACACAGTGATTGCCTTCACAAACATTATTCCCAGCACATGGCATTGTCCAGGAGATGCTCCATTCCCAGAATAGGGCAATGTGTAGAGAACACCCCAGCAGGAACAGCATTCCCGAAGGAGCTAAGGTGTAGCGGTAATGTCCCCGAGTTCACGGACTCAAATACCACCTAAGTGGAACTTGAATTAATGAACACATAACTGAAAAGCTAGTCTCAGTAACAATGGCCATGACAGTTATCATCGATTATTGTTCAAAACTTTCCTGTTTCACTAATGCTCTTTAGGCGAGGAAATTTGCTGTCCTTATCCGGTTTGGTCTACATACAACTCCAGACTCTCAGCCACGTGAGCCACTCAGGTCCACAGCATTAAGGGATGAGCCTTGTCAGTGATGCTTACATCCCATTCAAGCATAAGAAAGCTGCCACTGACCAGTGAATGCCCTTTCAAGCATGGGGCATTCAGGATGTTTTGGCACAGTGCCCCAATGGTTCCCCAACAGTTTCAACACTGGGCGTTAATCTGTAGATGGAGGGCTGTTTAGAATTTGAAAAGAATCAATAGCTGGGAAGTGAGATTAAGGCGAAATTAATAGCAATTTCATTGTCTTGTATTCTTTTATTGTGATTAGGTTCAGGTTACAAACAGTTTCCATTTCAATTCCATGTCAGAATCTCACTCCTGACCAACTCTGTAAATATCAGGCCACGAGCCAATAGCTTTAGGATCAGACCCTCATTAATACAGTGCAGGTCAGCGACACAGAGCAGCCCCAAGACAGACAGGGTAGAGTTCTAGGGGCTAGTGAGGTAGGTTTGGGGGCAGAGAGATATGGTTCAGGGGTAGAGAGGCAGCGTTCTGGGGTGGGGTGGGGTGGGGGAGCAGAGAGGTGTGGTTCAGGGAGAGAAAGGCAGGATTTGAGTGCAGAGTGGCAGGGTTCATGTAGGGGACAGGATTTGGGTGGGGCTGGGGGGTGGGATTCTAGGGAGTCAGGAGTACAGTTTGGATGTGGGGGAAGAGGGAGAGGGAGAGGGATCAGTGGAGCAGTGGTTGGGGATCCAGCGCTGTGCAGTGATTACTTGATACTGAACAGGAGTTTCACTGTGCCATTTCTTTTTGATTTCTCAGTTTCTGGCAGTCTATTTTTCAGTGACTCTCAGAGGCCTGATCTTCCTGGCTGCTTCAAGGACAGAGCGGATATCAACAGCGTCACCAAACTCCTTCTCACGGTGCTCCAGGAGGACTCCCTGTGTGAATACAATAGCAGCTGAGACCAAGGCCAAGAGCAGGAGACAATCTGGTTCCTCCCCCTACTCCTCTCCTCTTCCCAACCCCTTCCCCTCACCTCTCTATCAAACGCCTCCTTCCTCACATCTCTGACCAACCCACTCCCCTCATCTATCACCCTTCCTCGTTCATTGCCCTCTCCCACTCCCCATCATTTCCCTCACTCCCACAAACCCTCCTCTCACCATCTTCCCTCATATTCACCCACTGTCCTCAACAAAGGATAGAACACAGATACAGTAAAGCACTTAGCAAGACAGGGAGGAGGCGATGGCCTAGTGGTATTATCGCTGGACTATTAATCCAGAGACCCAGATAATGTTCTGGGGACCCGGGTTCAAATCCCACTACGGCTGATGGTGGAATTTGAATGCAATAAATATCTGGAATTAAGAATCTAATGATGACCGTGAATCCATTGTCGATTGTTGGAAAAACCATCTGGTTCACTAATGCCCTTTAGGAAAGGAAACTGCCATCCTTACCTGGTCTGGGTCTACATGTGCTTCCAGACCCACAGCAATGCAGTGGACTCTTAACTGTCCTCTGGGCAATTAGGGATGGGCAATAAATGACACTAGCCAGTGACACCCTCATCCCGTGAATGAATAAAGAAAACAAAATGGAACACGTGCCGTAATTGCAAGGTGATAGTGTATACAGGAGAGAAGATTTGCTACAATTGTACAGGGTGCTTCATAGAAGGTTCACGACATTTATTCCCGGGATGAAGAGATGGCCTTATGAGAAAGGGTTGAGCAGTTTGGGCCAACGCTGATTGCCTTTTAGAAAGGTGATCTTATTAAAACCATTAAGAAACTGATAAGGGGGGAATGACAGGATATCTACCTAGAGGGAATAACCTCATGGGATATCTACAATGAAAGGGAACAGTTTAAAAATAAGGGGTCTTCCACTGAAGATGAATGATTGGGGACAAATTTGTCCTCTCAGTGGGTCATTAATTTTTGAACTTCTCTTCCTCAGAGAGCAGTGGAGGACTGATTATTGAAGATGTTCAACGCTGAGTGAGACAGATTTCTCATCAACAACGGAGCCAAAGGTAATGGGGACCCTGCAGAAGTGGAGTTCAGGTCACATTCGCATCAGCTGTGAACTTATTGAGTAGTGGTACAGGTTGAAGGGGCTGAATGGCCTACTCCTGCTCTTTAGAATCTTACACGATCGCCCTTGAATTTGGAAGCTGAGAGAAGAGCTGTATTGGTGGGGGTTAGGGAAATGTCCATGGACAATGACATCAATAGTTTGTATTGCGATAGAGGACTTCCTTCACAGATAACTCTGAGCCAGGCAACTGTCTTCGGGGCAACTCACTATTCATCTCTAACCCTGTCCATCCACCGTCATCCTTCTCTCTTTCTCACTTCTCATCATTGACACTGTTTATATTCCCCTGGCTCCAAACCAGATGCATTTTAGTCAAAACTAAAGGCTTTTAAACTGTTAGCTTAAAATTAATTGGGCCAACTGCCAAAAATGCTTTCTTTTCTTTGATTTTGATTTCATCAAACTCTCAATCTTTGCTCAAATTTGGCTTTCAAATTTCTGGATTTGTCTGGGAATCAAGCTTATGTTTCTGCACTGGACTGCACTCAACTTCATTGGAATGCACAGGGCTACAATGGGTTGCATTGAATAACACGGAACTGCACATGCCTACATGGGACTAGACTAAGTTGCACTGAAATACATTAGTCTGCGTTGGGTTTTACTGGGGCCTCACTAGGCTCAGCTGCTCTATTGCTTATATTTTAAAGTGATTTAAATTAGCCCCATCCATCGACACTCCTGTCATCTGTTGGGTCTACGACTTTGTTAACCATGTTTTCCAGATCAGCTGTCCTCAGATTCCTGCTAGGACATCACGTTTCTCAATATTTGTCTCCAGTCTCTGAATTTTGTAATGCTGGGCAACCTTCCACTATTTTCTGCCCCCTGACCATTGCTGCACACTCCTAGACCCACATTCCAACAGCAATATGTCCCTCCTTGTGTCATATGGCTTCTAGCAACCTTGCCCTCTACACCCAAATACAAACCTGGATGAGAGTTCTTGATAGTTCATGCCAATTTCATACTCCATCAGCTGTGATCTCTGACCTTATCACTGATGTCCTGCTTTTATCTCCTCTCTATTCTATCTTTATTACAGGGTCATACCATCCTTATCTTGATACATAATTTGAATTTGCTTCAGGTTATTCCAGTCGGCAGTTGGCAGAGACAAACCTGTCACTTCAGTTCCCACTTTCCTTCTTTGCCCCTTATCAGCCCCAGCTGCCTCGCCCCCTGGGTGAAGGGGGCAATAACATTTAGTCAGGCAGAATGATGCGATCTTTATGCCTCAGCCGTGGCGGGCGGTGGGGGATGTAGTGAGCAATGACAAGTTAACCCTTTGGAGCACCCCTGCCCCCACCCTAGCCCTTCTGCCAATTCCACAATCCTCCCAACTCTGTCTCTTGTCAGTGGCATTCCAGGTCAGAAAGGTCACAGTGCGAGCGAGGTTGAGAATTAAAATGACAGGTCACAGAGGGCTCAGATACATGCTTATGGACTGAATGGATGTGTTCCTCAAAGCAGTCACCCAGTCTGCGAATGGCCTTCCTAATGTAGAGGGAACCACATCATGAGCAGAGAATACAGCATACAACATACAACATTGAAAGAAATAGAAATAAATTTCTGTTTCACTGGAAAATATGTTTGAAGCATTGCATTGTGAGAAGGGAGGAGGTGGAAGAGAGGTCTTGCATGTCCTGCACTCCATAGAGAAAGAAATGGCAGCATTGGGTTGACTGAGAAGAGAACCAGTGAATCAGGGAGGCAACAGTCCTTTCAGAATTCTGGGAGAGGATGGGAAGATGTGTTTGGGAGTGGATAGGATAAAGCTCCTGGAATTGATGGGAAGGTTGAGAACAGAAGAGCATTAAAACAGAGTGGGCACAGTAGGGTACCCTGTTAACCATGGTGGACGGATTCTTTTGTTGCGGGCAAAGAAAGAAAGACATTGTGGAAATGTGAATATGGAAGGCTGCATCGTCCAAACAAACGTAACAGAGACTTGAGTAACTGGTTAAAAGTGAAGAGAGGTTTTCAGAAAGTGTATTGAAGGTAACTGTGGATGCACTGGGCTTATGATGCCTACCATCAGAAATGGAGGAAGAAATGGACTATGCATTCAGTGAAGGAGTGCTGAGCTCTCCTGAGGGGGAATGGAGGTGTAGAGGGATGAGACATCCATAGTGACTGATAGCATAGGCACGATAGGCTGAATGGTCTCTTTCCTGTTTGTAACTTTTCTATGGTTAGAGTCCGGAAACTGTGGCAAGTGACACAGATGCAATAACAAGGGGAGAAAGAAACAGAGGTGAGATAAGAAACTAGTTCAGTGGGGCAGAAACAGTGGGTCCTGTTTGTGAAGCTTGAGAAGGAGGCATTGCATTTCCTGACCTGATCTCCAGCTCCTAAAACAAATACTCCTCCGAGGATGAATCCTTCTCCGTCTGTATTCCCGCTGAATCCCTTTTGCCAGGCTCGCAAAAAATTCCTCCAAACACCCAGACGGAAAAGGCCAAGGAGTCCCATGGTGCGTTTGTTTGGTCCATAGAAGCGTTTCTAAAGATGGAGTGAGCCAGGCAGACATTAACTGAATGGCAAACTGATGCTGGCAACAAATGAACTCTACAAAACATTCACTCCCATTCAATCCATAGAACACATTCCATTGCTGGCCTGATACCATCAACACACAAATTAACCCTTCCAATGAACACCTTCCATGTAAACAACACCCTGTGAACACACGCACACCCCAACCCACACATAGTTAAGACACACACTGACAGGCACAGGCGTGGGCGCGCGTACACACACACGCGCTCTCTCTCTCACACACACACACACACACACACACACACACACAGCAGCAGTAGCAGATTAAATATTTACATCTCATCACTCATGCTCTTACAGGCCACAACTTGGCACCTACCTCTTCATCTAGAAAAATCTCGCCTTTGAAAAAAGGTTGAAAGCTCTTTAATTCATTATTGATATCTTCTTTGACGACTCCATACAGAGGGACCCCTAACTCATCAAGCTGGGGTTTCAGAGAGGAGATATCGGCGGCCTCCTGCAGCAGAAGGAGGAAACATCAATTCAAGTATCATGTTTCCTGAATGTATCAACCTCTCTAAGGGAAGATTAGAAAAAGAGGCCAGGAATTGCGGTGTACCATCAATCACACCTACTCTACCTGGCAATTAGCACACAAACTTTATTCTGTTTGTTAATTTACAGCTAGTTGTATGTAGTCCAGCCCAAAACCAGCTGGTAAATTTGAGTGAGGCTAGCAACATTTAAAGCTAGAGATAATAGGAACTGCAGATGCTGGAGAATCTGAGGTAACAAGGTGTAGAGCTGGATGAACACAGCAGGCCAAGCAGCATCAGAGGAGCAGGAAAGCTGACATTTCGGGCCTAGACCCTTCTTCAGAAAAGGGTCTAGGCCCGAAACGC